AGCAGTAAGACACCACTACCTCTTCTCTTCTCTTCTCTTCTCTTCTCTTCCCCCACCGCATTAGCTCTATCTTGAAGTATGTGAGTTATCTGTGTATGGCAGGGAGTTTGAATATTGTCGTCTTATATATTGTGGTATTTTATGTATATCAGCTTTCCATAAAACACTTACCTTTTGCTCCTCTTACACTTGTATATTTTACTCACTGAAAATGAAATGTGACTGTTGTGTCCTGGGAGAACCTGTTGATCCTAATAGAAGTTGATCTGAACATAATATCATAACATTTTTTATATGAACTATTCCTGGCCTTTCCAAATTCCTTAAAATTAGGCCAGTTTCACCATGAATGAGCCAATACATGTTTTACCATAGTACTCTCAAAGGGGGTACTTTGTTAGAAACTTTTTCAGAAAAACTGCATGGATTTAGAGAGATGCTGGCTAGCTCCTGGAATGAATCAAAGTTGTATGTCTCATAATTAAAAATACATATTAGGCAGAATTAAAACTGCACAGTGCTCCATGTAAAAGATGTCCAGTGATACTAGAATATTTTGCAATAACCTTTGTTTAAGAACACTGTTCAGTAATGTCTTAAGGAAGTTGTGAAGTTGTGTTCACTTACAGAAGACTGAGTTAATTTGCTTAGCTTCCTGTTGCTGCTTCTGGTAGAATATTGATTTATGAAGTATGGTATTCAGTGGCACCAGCCATTTACATACTGAGTGGATATCAAAAGCCATTAAAATGTTCAAGTTTCTTGCATCATCCAGAAAATGTGCATGCTTACTATCAAAAGAATGTTATCTGAAGGATTTTCCAGTCATGAGATGCGATTTTAGTAGGTGGTAACACCCTATATTTCTGTGGTGTAATACCAGTGCAATTCTTTCTGTTCTGAAGCAACCATTTCAAAACACAACAAGTATATTAAAAATGTAATCAGCTTAAGCACTCAGGCAAGTCTTGCTACATTCATATACCTTATATTTGTCTCTTGTTTGTGATAAGGCTTGGCTATTTTAATGGTGGCTTCATTTCTGACATTCAGGATCAAGAAGGCAAACCAAAGAGGGCAGATATTCATGACAACCAAGATGGCACATATGCAGTAACGTATATCCCTGACAAGACTGGTCGTTATTCTGTGGGCATTAAATATGGTGGGGATGATATACCTCTTTCTCCATATCGAATTCGTGTATCACCAGCAGGAGATGCAAGCAAATGTCTAGCAACAGGTAAGTCCCTACTTTGATTTCAGAATTGGGATAAGTCAGGGGCGAGTAGCTCTTAGTCACTGAGCTGTATGCAGCCCCAGAACTCCTTTTGGATGGCTTCCAGAAATTATACCTTTAAATAGCAAAGTGCCAAAAAAGAGATGCAATTTCCTGCTTTTGGGGAGGCAGAAAACCCCTGAAAAAGTGTGAAAACTTTAGTCTAAACAAACACAAAAAAACCTCACCAAAACTTCATCCTGAAAATCCTAGTCTCTTCATCTCTGTGACTCATTTCACTGTTCATTGCAACATTTGGCTACCTCCAAAAATTGAGTCTACCAGATGTTGAAAGGTTGTATATAAGGTGGATATGGAAGATGCTGGAAGGTTTGATTAAAGAAGTATCTTAATTAATACAGTTTCGCCATAATTCTTAAGTATAGCAGTTTGATGCAAGAGTAAGTTGAGCAAAGGTTGCTGGCTTCTTGTCTCCCCTTAGGTCTGTTTAGAAGTTGACCTTGTATCCTTAATAAGCTTATTCAGATTCAAGCACTGAAAGAAAGGCAGTTGTTGTACCAGAGGTATGCCAGCTTAGTTTAATCAAGTAGCAGTGACCCATTTGCAATTAGAAGATATGGCATTGCAAATTGAAAATGACTGTTTCAAGGCATTAAAATGGCCTGGTAAGTTCAAGGAGAAGAAAAATTAGTGTAAGATTTGTACTGCAATAGGTACTCTTTCCTTTGAAGTCCTTATGGAAGGTAGATAAATTCTATAGGCAGTGAGAAAATTGTGCCAGTATCCTGCAATGTATGCATGCAAGAGACCTCTCCTTAACAAAATGCTAACTACTAATGCTAACTAATGAAGTGAAAAATGAATGCAGATTAATTTCTTCCAAGTACTGCATTCTGCAAAGCAGTAAACAAGGTTGCTTGTTTGCAAAGAATTTATGGTATCATTGTTGTCTGAGTTAGGATTTTGGTTGAACTGGATATGTTTTTAGTGATGCCCATATCCAAGTGAAAATTGTGTAGTCTATCTGTGACAGAGTATGAAAAACTGCTGCAATCCTCATATCAACTGTCTTTCAGGCCCTGGCATTGCAGCAACAGTGAAGACTGCTGAAGAAGTTGGCTTTGTTGTAGATGCTAAATCCGCAGGCAAGGGTAAAGTGACCTGTACGATCCTGACACCAGATGGCACAGAAACTGAAGCAGAGGTCATTGAAAATGAAGATGGAACATATGACATCTATTACACAGCTGCTAAACCAGGAACCTACGTGATTTATGTCCGCTTTGGTGGAGTGGATATTCCAAATAGCCCCTTCACTGTCATGGTAGGAGGACTGGCTGCTTAATAATATTTTCTGAGTGGACATAAATTGAGATTCAGATTGAGAAACAGTTATAGATAGCAGGCAGTTTGGCATATATTCTATTAGCTTGCAGTCCAAATTAGTTTTAGAGTTGTATAAAGATTTGTGGATGAGAGAAATATTTCCCAAACCTTAACTGCAAAGAATTGCCTGTGTTTGCACATTTTTACACCTATCATTCCTGGGATCTGTTATTTTAACTCGAAGTTAATATATTTCTCTAATGGTTGTTGTACGTAATTATACATACAGTATCCAGCAGTGAAACAATACCATAGATATGCATGAAACATAAGTGTATTTGTGGTCATAAATTAAGCTATCATAAATTTTCAAATGCCAAGGTGCCTGAACTGCAAAGATTACTATGCCCCTCATTTCTTTATTGTGCACTCTTTCTCCCCTGTCATTTCAGTCAATCATGGATTGTGTTATTAGTAAGAGCTCCATTCAACTTCATAGCCTGTTGGGTTTGGCTATGTGTAGATGACAATATATGTAAATATGGCTGAGTAAGGATAAGGGCTAGCTTGGTTAAAATCAAGGCATGAGACCACTGCAGTCAGGAAGATGAAGTCAAATGATGATTATGACTGGAGCAGACAAACACTTTATACAGTAGTCCCCCACAACAATTCAGGGGATACCTTTTAATGTTGATCTAATGCATTTCAAAAATTCTTTCCACCCTGGTTTGCATTTTTAAAGCTGTTATAGAGAGTTCTAAAATTCCATTCAGCAAATAGTTTGGGGAAGCACATTTTGAGAAGGTGCAGAAAGGCACCCAACCTTTTCCAGCAATCTGCCACTAGGGCCATCACTGCTACTACCAGTTTGTATTTCCACGTATCTGTTGACCAACTGAAAAGCCACCCTACCTCTTTCTGAAAGCCAATTTGATTTGGGGCCACCACTCACTCTTAATAATTGAGTACAATTGAATACAAAAGGATAGATTTTGTATTATAGAGCTCTGAATTGTGCAGATTGGGAAGCGTGCCATCAATTCACATCAAAGAGGTTTTGGACAACTTTCCTAGCAATAGGATCATGAATGTTGTCTAAGGATTCTTTTTTGACCTGTCTTCATTTCTGTAACTTAGGAAGAGAGATGGAAAGAGATCTTCCATTTGGTTCTTACTTATCTGTGTGATTTTCCTGAACTGGCTTTTGAAAGTTAGCAACCATAGGATAAAATATTGCCACTGAAAGTGGCTGAATCTACCTCTTATTCCCTTTAGTATTTTCTGTTGCCTATTTCCTCCCTCAGAGTTAATGAGTTTGTCAGAGAGAATATCAAGAGCCACTGGGGAAGCAGACAAAACTGGAGAAAACACAAAGGAATTTGAGGTTGGCTTGCTGGGAAGTACCATGCAACTCTTGTGTGCTAGTTTGGGGCTAGGTGATAACATATTCCCATGCTGTGTGTGCCCCTCCCCATCCTATGTTTATTTATGTGTTTGGTATTTTTATGCTCTGTGCAAAGAAAGAGGTGTTTTTTTTTTTTTTTTTAAATTGTACCTTTTGCCACTAACCAGGCCACAGATGCAGATGAAGTTGCAGTATTGTCTCAGGAGCCACTAAATGCAGCCTGTCCCCCTGGATTCCATCCCTGGGTACACAATTTTACACTTTCTTCCATGTTCCATTCAAGAAATGACAGCCTGCCTCTCTCTTGGGGTTGCTTAAGCTTGCTTTTGTGTCATATCTTAGTGGTGGTCCAAAGGCTACTTTGGAGGAAGCCAGATTTGATTCAGAAATTTCTCCTCATTGCTGTGCTAATGACTTTTTGAGCAACTTTTAACATCACAATCATTTCAAGGCTCCTAAGGTACTCTGTCCTTACAAAACTGCACATCAGTTTCCTTCTAGCTATATGAGGGCAGATAGCTTTATTTTCTGGTGTCTTCTTCTTAAACAAATTAACTTTCCTCTAGGCCATGGCCAATTGTAGTTCTTTCAGATGGAGCTCTCCTTGTATGTGCAGTGTCTTGCAACTTCACTGTTCCATTTATATGTTCTAAACATCTCTACGATTCAGTGGTGTCTTCGTTCTGAAAGCAACAGTTTAAAAAGTTAGTCTGATATTCTAACTGCACACATAAAATCACATTTTTCTTCTTCTTTAGGTCACAGAAGAAGCATATGTACCTGATGGTGATGTGAATGGTGTAGGCTTTAAGCCCTTTGATGTGGTCATTCCTTTTGCAGTAAGAAAAGGGGAAATTACTGGTAAATAGCTTATAGCGTTCCAATTCTAGATTGCCCAGCTTGCTAGCATCATTCCAGATTCTTTGCTATGTGAGAACTACATCACGTATCTGAAGCACAGAACCAATTTCATAAAATTTGCAATCTGGTTTGTTTGCAGTGTAATCCAAAAGGGGATGATGGAGAATGAAATCCTATTGAAATAGCTATTCTTAGTTTTGCACAGTGGACCACACATATTTAGTCTGCTTTCATTAGTCCAGGCCATTTTTCTGTGCTCTTGATAAGATGTAGCTATCCAGAATTCCTGGATGGCATAGCTCTTGGACAGCCCTAGGTTGGGGAGGTGTGGTCCAGAACATCAACTCCAGATTGAACTCTTTAAGTCTATTAAGTTTTGACAAGTCACAGCAAACTCCAGGTGTAATTTTCAAATTGTGAGGTAACATAAATAGATGCTATCTGCTTGAATATACTCTGTTTTTTTTTTAACTCTTAAACAGTTGAAGGGGCTAATTTTAAGTTATTACTAGTTATACTCTACTCATGATTTGAAAGTAATAAATCTCCAAGGATTCTGGTAATATCAAGATAGAAATGGGAGCCAGGAATAGTTCAGTTGTTTTCTGTCTTAGATAATTTACAAAATAGCCCCTGATATTATACAGACTTGAGTATGAAAATGCTTGGATGGCTTTGCTTTTGTAAACATGTAATCCTTTTCCTTTCAGGGGAAGTCTACATGCCTTCAGGAAAGACTGCAACACCTGAAATTGTGGATAACAAGGATGGCACAGTTACAGTTAGATATGCTCCTGTTGAAGTTGGGTTACATGAAATGCATATCAAATACATGGGTAACCATATTCCAGGTAAGCACCAATTAATTCTAATTAACATTCATATTGCATTGCAATAACTGTGGGTGAATGGGAACTGTAATTATGCATCATACCCTAGATGTTGATGATTTCAGCCTTGTAAATGGCTGCAGCCTTGATCTGCATTATGTGTCATAAAATGAGAAGCATTGGGTTAAAGGCATCAAGAATTCTTACTGAGTCTGTGCCAGATTTAAAACAGCTTTGGCTTTGTGAAGTGAAATTTGTTACATATCCTGTATGGTCAGTTGAAACATATAATTTTAGGGAGGTACAGATTAAGAGCTGTACAAAAAGCTTGTGTAAAATATTAGCCCTTCTTTCCTTAAATTATAGTTTATTCTCTTTTGCACACTATAAATAACTGAATTTGATTTCCTAGTGAATCAGTAGGAATTACCATCAATTTGACTGCTTGTAACATATTGCTGGCTTGTACACATTATGCAAAAATATACATTGCATGAAAAGCCTTGGGCTCTGCTCCCTTAATATTGTACATAGGAGAAAAGTTTAGTAGCCCAGAATATACAACAATCTTGGTATGTTCTAAAATGTGGAGCTTCAGCTGTTTTAGGGCATATTTGATTCTGTCATTCTAGTTACTTACCACTTTCCAATATGTGGTGAGAAGTTATCCTAGAATATTTAAGTTTCTCATCTGGCACTTTCTTGGGATATGGACAGTTAGTGATTGAATGTTGGCTTATACATTGCATGTAAATGTCCAAAATGTAGGTAGGGACAATGTTAAAAGGAATATTCTGGGCACAGTCAGTTAACTTGGAGTTTCTTAATTTAGGATGGACAGGGTTATGCTTAGCTACGTTAGCCTTAAAGCCTGTGGGTAAAGCTAGGAATAGAAGTACCATTAAAGCCCAGCCACAAAAGCAGCCTTCATAGGGCTTCAACCATTTTTATGGTTTGGCTTTTTCTTGGGCACAGTAACAGTTTCCCTAGTGATTCTCTGGCAAAGGTGCGTGATAAATATATAAGTAATGAAATTGGGACCTGAAGTTTGTTTGTTGATAGAAAGCAACTGGTTAAGGGGGTTATAGAAATACATGCATGTCTAGCATTGGCCAGTTCAAGAAACAAGGGATGTTACATAATGCTAAATGGAAATATGTGGAGGAATTCAAGTGAACAGCAAAAGATAACTCAGCCTTTGTTGAGTGAAGAACATTTGTAATCTGTTTTGGAGAGACAAAATAACTAAAATCATTAAAATCTGTGAGACTGTGTGTACTGATAATAGGTGTTTATCCTGCAGAGAGCCCTTTACAGTTCTATGTGAACTATCCAAATAGTGGAAATGTGACTGCTTATGGACCTGGCCTTGTTTATGGTGTAGCAAACAAGCCAGCAACCTTCACCATAGTCACAGAGGATGCTGGCGAAGGTAAGTATTAGCTTTTTAGCCTCAGGTACACCAAAGATGAAGCAAATTCCACTTGATTTTGTCCTTTAATTTCCAGATAAGCATGCATAGGAGCTTGAATTGCTAGCTTAGAGTTATAAAGATATTTTAACAATGAAAATAGGTATAATTCCTTGTTTCAGTATTTTATACAGCAACTACAGCAACTTAAGCAACTATTTGCTTAAGCATAACAGTACTAAAAGGATTTTACTACTTTGTAGGCATCGTGGTATATTAAACTTATTGTCTAAATGCGCAGTCACCGTGTTTATAGGTTACCTTGAGAACTTCCCATAAACACAGAGTAAGCTTTCTGACTGAGTTTGGAATCTGTAGTTCAAATACAACATTGAAGAGATGGAACCATAATCTAGGACAAATTATGCATACTAGCTTATAGAATCAGTGTTAGTATTGGATATTTGTAGAACATCTAGTTCATCTTCCCACTTCAGTCAACTTGGCACAGATTAATTTCCATAATTAAAGATGAAGATGATTTGAATGTAAAGCAGTGTTTCAAAGGCAAGCCACATTACTTGATCAGAGAATCTTCCAAGAAGGCCCCACACATCTGAAACTGCAAGCTACTCATTATAATTTTAGCCAAAGTGTTGGAAATATATATAGAACAATGCTAGTAATGCTTTTCACCCAATGTGACAGGTGGCCTGGATTTGGCAATTGAAGGTCCTTCAAAAGCTGAGATCAGCTGCATTGATAACAAGGATGGCACTTGCACAGTCACTTACCTGCCAACACTTCCAGGAAACTACAGCATATTAGTGAAATACAATGATAAACATATCCCAGGGAGCCCGTTCATTGCTAAAATCACAGGTATGAGAATGGCCTCAAATAAGGGCCGGCTTCTGATTCATACAGTGTGCTAGACTTATAACTTCATATAGAAATGGTTTAGTTTTAACATTTAAGATATGTAAGTTGGTAACATTCTCATAAATTTGAACAGAGAACTTAGTGTAATGAGATACCAGTTTCAGTAAAATGTGGCAACGTCAAAACAGCTTTTAGCCAAGGATTTACTATAAAAGCATGATAAATTAATGCTTTCTTCTCCATTAGCATATCTGGGTTTTCAGTTCAAGTGTTGTCTAATGATTACCAGTTTAGGGTTTCCATTTCTTCAGCCATAATGTTACATCTAGGAACCTCTGAAGTAGAATAGTCTTGCTTACCGGTCTGCTGATCCTAATGGGAGTTCTTCTTTTCTAAAGATGACAGTAGGAGGCGATCCCAAGTTAAACTTGGCTCTGCTGCTGACTTCTTGCTAGACATTAATGAGACTGATCTTAGCCTCTTGTCAGCCAGTATTAAAGCCCCATCTGGCAGAGATGAACCTTGTCTTCTGAAAAGACTGCCAAATAACCACATTGGTAAGTTTCTGGTCTTCTAGGGAGGCTGTGTGATTGTTTATGAAGTTTTTGGCAGAACCACAGTTAAAAGCGGATAAATACCCTAAATTTGTATCTAGAATTTTGTGAGTACTAATGCTGCCTGTAATATCAAATGCTGATTAGCTTCCTGCTGGAGGAGAGGGGGAGGGAAGGTATGCCTTGCTTGCTTTTATGAAATACAGAATTAAAAATTTGTCTCCATGCTTTATCTGGCAGGTATCTCATTCATTCCTCGAGAGGTGGGAGAACATTTGGTTAGCATAATGAAGAACGGAAGTCATGTTCCCAACAGTCCAGTGTCCATTATGGTAGTTCAGTCTGAGATAGGTGATGCAAGTAGAGCAAGAGTTTCTGGTCGTGGCTTGGTTGAAGGACGCACTTTTGAAATGTGTGACTTCATTGTTGATACAAGAGATGCAGGTCAGTAATACAAAGCCCCTTCATCTGCAGGGGCTTCTTGTGGCTTAACCTAGGAAGTTGCCCCTTCCCATATATATGAGAAACAGAAAGAAACACCCGTTGACAGGTCAGCTGATTTGCCCCTGTTTGAAACAATTATGATCAACCATGCAGTAAGAAATAACTTGTATGTTTCTATCACTGGACAAAACTAAAACCATAGTTTGACTCCTCACTTGAATTGTAAATTGTCAAGCTCAAAAATATAGAATGCTTTCCATGAGACTGTGTACAAAAGGGTTCAGTGGTATGTAATTTTGATAACTTAATGTAGAATTATACATAACTCATAGCATTATACCATGAATCAAATATTTGGTGAGCTCTGCTTTTTATAAAGGATTTAACTTCTAGGAAATACTTTGCAATACTTCATCACTACAGGGTTTGCAATACTTCATCATACTTTGCAATACTTCATCACTACACTCTACATCTTCTTTTCTAGGATATGGTGGAATATCACTGGCAGTTGAAGGACCTAGCAAAGTGGACATCCAGACAGAAGATCTAGATGATGGAACTTGCAGAGTGTCATACTTTCCAACTGTGCCTGGTGTTTACATAGTGTCAACTAAGTTTGCTGATGAACATATCCCAGGTAAGAATGAGGGAAAAGTTTTGGTAACCTCCCAGCATTACCCTTTTATAGTTCCTAACACTATCAGTAGAGTACAACAATACTGAAAACAACTGGAAGGAACAGCTTGATTTTTCTGGATAGTGAATTCTGTGCACTTTATAATCCTCTAGGTCATTTTAAGATAGCACTTTTTCATTTTGAACTGTCTAGTGTAAAAAGCTGGTTTTCTTTGTAGTCATTATCAAACATTATTTCCTGCTTAAATGTTTATGATGTGATCTTGTTCAGTACATGGACTTTGTAGCTAGTATGTTTTCTGAAAACTCTTACCTGACTAAATTTTGGTATCTGTACTGTTGATAAGTGGACTCAGTGTGATTTTGTATATTCTAATTAAAGGCAGCCCATTTACTGTGAAAATAAGTGGTGAAGGCAGGGTCAAGGAAAGTATCACACGTACCAGGCGAGCTCCCTCTGTAGCCACTGTTGGAAGTTTGTGTGATCTTAACTTAAAAATTCCAGGTAAGCTTTGCCCTTTATAAATAGCTTAATAAATGGTGCCTAGAAACTGACAGTGATATTTAAATAAAGTGGGCTATTAACATCCTTAAAAGTTCATTAACTGATTCTGTTCTGCTGTGTTTGCTTGCACAGAAACAGCTAATTTTTCTCAACAATCAAAAAAGAGCTCACAATAGAGATTGTGACTGACCCAAAGTTCAGCATCCTTTGTTGAGAATGGACAAACCTGGTTCTCCCCAATCCAACATCTTAAGTACTACATCACACTGACTGTGCTCCATTTATAATTAATATTCTGGATGAAGTTTTGCAATTCCTCAATTGTTTTTGAGGAAAATGATTAAGTATTTGGCCTTTCAAATCACATGCCCTGTACCTAGTCTGTCTTGGTATCTACTCACTTCTTTCATTTTCACAAATGTCTTTTGCTGATAATAGTTATGGGAGATGGGATCACTCCCAATATCATGTATGCTTGGCAAAATACCCCTCTGTATGGAACCTCACAGGCCGCAGTATTCCAGTGTAAGATGTTAAAAAAATGAAAACTAGGCTTTATTTTTCTCCCCTAAGAAATTGATATAGGTGATATGTCATCCCAAGTAACCAGCCCATCAGGAAGGATTACCGAGGCAGAAATTGTGGAGCATGACAAAAACACATACTGTGTCCGCTTTGTGCCACAAGAAATGGGAGTCCACACAGTGGCTGTGAAATACAGAGGGCAACATGTGCCCGGCAGTCCATTCCAGTTCACAGTTGGACCTCTTGGTGAAGGAGGAGCCAGTAAAGTCAGAGCTGGTGGTCCAGGACTTGAAAGAGCAGAGGCTGGCATCCCAGGTAAGGCCTTCACTGTTTTATCTTAACCTTCTGAATACCTGTCACTGGCTTGAACATCTTTCTTTGAGATGTATGTGATTGTATTCTTAGAACAGGATGATTCATCATGGACTGGATATGAATCTTTTCACACAACTGCTTCTGCTGTTTTGGGATAACACCAGTCTATGGCAACCAGTGCCAGTGTTACAAGAAAGGGGTGGGGGGAGTCACATGTCTGCCTCTAATTGCTTTCTTTTGTTAACAGCTGAGTTTAGCATATGGACAAGAGAAGCAGGAGCTGGTGGTCTTTCCATTTCAGTGGAAGGGCCAAGTAAGGCAGAAATTGTTTTTGAAGACCACAAAGATGGATCTTGTGGTGTGTCCTATACTGCTCAAGAGCCTGGTATGAGATTTAAGTATGATGAAATAACATTGTAACTTGGGAACAGGTTATTTGCATTTCTAGTTTGCTTAATGAAGTTCTTGTGTTTTTCAGGTAACTATGAGGTGTCCATCAAATTTAATGATGAGCAAATTCCTGAAAGTCCGTACCTGGTTCCTGTGATAGCGCCTTCAGATGATGCTCGTAGGCTTACTGTTATGAGCCTTCAGGTGAGACACAAGGAAATATCTCTGTAACTTACCGCAAGCTGATTTCATCCTTGTTCTCAGTGCTCTTATCCTTCCTAGTGTTGCTTCTTTAGAGAAAATCTTTCTGCCTGGAGAAAATAGACTTTTTAGTTAAGAAACAGCGTTGGACAGAACATAGATTGACCTCCTTAGTGGCGCTAAACAGCTTTACATACATTGCTATTAACATTAGTTTGCCATAAGGTATTTTAAGCACTTCAGTGGACAACTATACTTGGCAGCAAGCAAGAGTAATAGCCAGCTTGCAGGACTACATGTCTAGCTCTACCATTCATATTTAGACAAAGCAGTGTAAACTAATGATAAGTATGTTTTGAGAATGCATATGGTTGAATAGGGCTCTAGGGTGACTACAAAGCAGTAATTTGCACTGCACAGGTTCATGAAACCTAGAAGTTCATGGTTCAAATAATTACTCAACATCAGCTAGAGGAAGAGTGAATTCCAGTTGTCATACAATCAGTCAAATGGCCCGAAAGAGGCCAGTTAGGCCACTGAGTCCATTGTCTTAAGTTTAAGATGAAAGAAACACAAAAGATTTTAGACTAAGATTCAACCAACTAGCATGAGTAGGTATTGCTGCACTTTGAAGTAGCTATGTTAAGTGGCACAGGCTTCTCTTTAGTTAAGTTAGGTATTGTTTGAGTAAGCTGTGCTTTGCGGACTTGTGCATCAGTGTGGTTTTCTAGCTAAATCTCACTAAAACAGAGTATTACAAGGATGTGAATTAGCTGCTGTGGTATTGATGTTTTTCTTGTGTTTCATTTAAAGACTCCTGACAGAATGTGGAAAGTCAGCTGACTTAAAACCCTAAAGAGGGAAATAAAACTAATGGGAAGGCAGGGGTAGGGAGACAAGAAACTGTCTTATAGAGGAGTCTTTTGCATTTGGAAAAGCTCTTGATGCACTTTAATGCCTTATTTGTATGTTTGCTCAGTGACCATTTATTTCTCTCTTGAGGGTAAAGCTGAAAATGAAATGTCAAGTAAGCTATGAACTGAGAGCAGAGCATTGCGTTCTAAAACTCTGGTGAAGTAACTTGAATTTCCTAGAGTCTGAGGCAGAGGTGGGCCATGCAAAAGTGTGTAGTGACAGGTGCCACCCAACAGATACAGATTCATATATCCTTTTAGTTCCTTTTTCATAGTTCCAGGGATCCTCAAAGTACTGCATCTGTTGCCATGGTGGAAAGCATGATTTCCATGAAAAGAAAGCTGCAAGTATCATACTCGACGGTTGTCTGATGCTGCTATTGGCAATATGTTAATTAACAAGCCACACTATGGGAACTCAGGTTTCCCACTGAAAACTTAACTTTTGAGGGGTTAAACTGCTGATTATGCCACAATTACGATATAATCAGGTGTCTGGTGCTGGTTTTTATGCCAGTATTCTAACTTGTAGGCTTGCAGTATTGATGTTCGGGCCAGAAAACAGTATATGTAGTTAGAATAATTTAGAACAATAACTCTATGCTATCCTTTATTATCTTTCTGTATTATCCTGTACTGTCTTTCAAGATTAGAATTAGCCCCAAACAGATCACATTTGTTTATACTCTGAAGTACAGAGAGGATCTTACATGTTTCTGCCTAGTTATTCACTTCGTGAAATAGTGAGTGACACTCCCTTAATTAAGTTAGATAGGTAAGTAGCAAGCAGCCAGGCCAGGGATATTCAAGTATTTTATGGAAAACACAGTTACGTTTAAAATAAAATTGATAAATTCTTCCAAAACCATCATTTTTGAAAAATTCAGTACAATATAGTTTGAAGACAACCATATTTTGTTTTTCGGTTGCTTTTTAGGCATACAAACTATGCCACTTTTTACTTAGAGGTAGCAAAGTATTAAACTGTATTTTGTTATATTCCATGTTAACCAAATGACAATGTCTGTGGTTAATCTTAATATTGCATTCTTAGGAATCTGGGTTAAAAGTTAACCAGCCAGCAGCCTTTGCCATAAGGCTTAATGGGGCAAAGGGCAAGATTGATGCTAAAGTGCACAGCCCCATTGGAGCAGTAGAAGAGTGCCATGTTTCTGAGTTGGAGCAAGGTGAGAAACTGCACACAGCATTGTGTTATGCTTTCCGAAAAGTTCCTGTGATCCAGAACATAATAGCTAAATTTTGTTAACCAGTTTCTCTCTCCCTCCATCTTACCTTACCAGAGTGCTATGAATCTAAAACTGGAAGAAAGAGTAGTGTTTGCCATCTTGACCTCTTAGAGGAAAGGTGGAATATTATTCATTGGAATGTATAAAAACAAAATGCAAGGCAGTATGTTGCTACCTGTAGCATCTCAAGTGATCTCCCTTTTTATCCTGCTGTATTATTGCCTGCCCTTTTAAGATATTCTAGCAATATCCCATTTAAGGAAGTTAGTCCCATCTTAAGTTAATGAGAATTAATCCATTGTATAAATCTAAACGTGTTTCCAAAATATTTGCCAGGCTTAATTACTGCTTTCTAAGCAAGGACAGTATTCTAGTACTTAGATGTGCTCTCTTGAAATACATTTAATCTGCTTTACCAGTATGGGGGGAAAAACTATTCTCAGTGTGGGTTGGCTACTGGCAGTTATACCTAATCTCAAGAAAATAAACAGTTTGCAATTAATCTGGTAGTGAAGCAGTAAGAACAGATTTAAATGTGACAACTCAGATGTTCACAAATCCTGGTCAGTTCAACCATCTGAATTGATCTGGGCTGATTTCAGATCAAACCAATGTTTTTAGTACACATACACAAATTTTAATGATTAATTTTCTGAATCAGTTCAAATCAGACCAAAATCTAATTTTGTAGATTCATAATAAATTCTTCCTGAATGAACATTCCATTATTATTCTTTTCTTATACTTTGGCCTGTCTTGTGTTTCGGCTTTCAGTGACCCTGAGCCACCCTTCTCCAACCTGGCACCCTCCAGCTGAATTGGAATGTTAAGACCTAGCCAGCACGGCCTTTGGAATTCTTGAAGTTCCAGTCTGAACTGATTGGGAGGGTACCAGGTTGAAGAAAAAAGAAAATTTGGAATGTTAAATATTTTTCATTAGGAAGTACTAAACTAATTGATTATTTAATTATATATATTACAGATAAATATGCTGTCCGGTTCATTCCACGTGAAAATGGCATTCATTCAATAGATGTGAAATTCAATGGGAGCCATGTTGTAGGCAGTCCTTTTAAAATTAGAGTAGGGGAACCAGGTCTTGTGGATAGTCCAGCTCTCGTTACTGCTTATGGACCAGGCCTGGAGAGTGGCACAACAGGTAATTTCTTCTCTGCGTTTTATTTGATCTAAAATAATACCAGGTTTTTGCCTAAAAATATTGTCTTTCACGTCATTTGCAAATATTGCCTTTCTTCTAGTTTTTAGTTGGAATTGCAATGCTTGTTAGGAAAAAGCAAATTTGCAGCTGGATTGTGGCATTTGCGTAGCAAAGCTTATTGCTATATGAACTGCGTGGGCCTGCACATTACATCCATGCTTTTTATCTGTACTTTGCTTTCCAGGTTTACAATCTATATTTACTATAGACACCACAAAAGCTGGTCCTGGTACTCTCGCTGTTACAATTGAGGGGCCGTCAAAGGTGAAAATGGATTGCCAAGAAGCTCCAGAGGGGTATAATGTAATGTATACGCCGATGGCTCCAGGAAACTACTTAATTGGAATTAAATATGGAGGGCCTAATCATATTGCTGGTAGTCCTTTCAAAGCAAAAGTGACAGGTGAGAATATTGAGCTAAAGTTAGAAGTGTGGTCACAATCATAATGGCTGGGTTCGCACCATGTAAAACCAGGATTTTTCAGTCATGGTTTGTTGACCAAGCTGTAATGCCAGTTCTCTCATAGAGGCAAACCATAATGGTGGATCGATGCTCTGTCACATTATGGCTTAGCCCTGTGTGTGAACAAGCCCAAAGTATCTTGGGATAGAGTGGAAGGACTATAAAATGAAGAAGGTAGCCAGTAGGCTTGATTCACAACTGTTTTATATAGGTATGAATTCTTGTGGTAAACATACGCATCTTGTGCTTTTTAGGTCAGCGGCTGGTTAGCCCAGGCATCTCAAATGAAACATCTTCTATTATGGTGGAATCTGTGACTAGATCAGCAACAGATACCTTCTACAGGGCCATTCCCAAGTCATCGTCTGATGCAAGCAAAGTTCTTGCTAGGGGTGCAGGGCTTTCTAGAGCCTTCATGGGCCAGAAAAATTCTTTCTCTGTGGATTGCAGCAGAGCAGGTAACTTGTCTTTTAAAGTGTGAGTGGATTACTGGTTTAAGAGCTACACTTGAGTTTTTAACTTTGCTGAAAGCTTTGTAAATAAATGTTCATTATCTCTTCTTATATATCACAGTGCAACTTAGTTGTCCTTGCTAGTGGGAAATCAGACATCTACTACAGCACAGTAAGAGGAATATATGATGACTGAAAAATATTGATATTTCTCTTTGATACAGTAGTCACCAGGACTGCTTGCATTAATTTTGGTTGGGACTATGCAGAAATGAAATGCTAACTGAAGTTCTGTGACTTTCAACAGTGCTAGGTATTGAAATCTGCTGCATTATCAGTAACATTAGCGTTATCTTTGTGCTTTAGGTTCGAATATGCTGTTAGTTGGTGTCCATGGACCTACAACACCTTGTGAAGAAGTATCTGTGAAACACTTGGGAAACCACCAGTACAATGTAACATATGTTGTCAAGGAAAAAGGTGACTACCTACTAGCTGTGAAGTGGGGTGAAGAACACATTCCTGGAAGTCCATTCCATGTTACTGTTCCATAGATTCATCTTATTTCAGTAGCTTCTTCTGTTCTTAAGGGAAACCTTACATGTAATACTGTGAGCAGTCCTGTGACCAATGTATACAGATCACTTTTAATGAAACCCAAATTAAATATATTTTAAAGTTGTTCTTTGTCTTAAGCATCTCTGATATGCCTTGTAAATTCATTGTCCACTTTAGTTTGTACTGTTCTGAATCAAAACACAATCATGGAATAAAGTAGGGCACTATGGGTTTGTTTTTTTTTTGGTGGATTCTGGAATTTACATGTTAAACTGGAATTTGTCTTGGATAAATTGGTATCTTAAACTACTGACTTGCAATAGGTTTTGTTTTTGAATTGGAAACATTTTACTTTGTTGTAGAATATCACTATGACTGTTGCCAGTTAAAATTCTTCTGTAAAGACATTAGATGAAACACCCTGGTACTTAATGTGCCCTTACGTACTTGATAGACTTTTTATAGCTAATAGTGAAAACTGAAATTAGTGTTATCTTTAAACACTAAAACAATTTGCATAATGGTTGGCTGTTTACATTTGGGGGAAAATTGATTTTTTATTTCTTTGAAGGAAACTAGATGGGGGTCTTAAGCTATTCTGGAAGACTTCGTCACTGATGCTTTACGCAGGTCATGGTAATGGGTGGTGTAACTGTGATTGTCATGAGCAATAGAATGCCAAATTAAGTCAATATTCTAGCAAAGGTGCACATTGCTGGGTGCTTGAAGCTGTGATGGATTGTATACAATCACAGTTATTCCAGCTGTTTCTGTATACAGTAATTTAAGTGTCTCTGACTTCCTTGTAGTAATGCCTGTTAATGTTGAGGTGGAGGCTAATCTAGGCAGTTGACTATTATGTGAAACTTTGAATGATTCTACTAATCAACAGTGCAAATTAAAACTGATTGAAAGAGTTTGGTTGAGGGGGTTTGTGAACAAATCCTCTTAATTGTTGTTGGACAAGAAAAGAGCATTATGACCATTCTGGTTTTCAAAAATGACGAAAAGTTTAAAAATATCTTCCAAATATTGAAGTAAATGGTTTCAAAAAGCCTCTGGGGCTTTTTTTAGCAGAGTTTTTTTTTTCTTAAGAGCTTTAAATGTGCTTGATGGAGGAATACACTTAATGGAAGTAATTTAGTTCTTTTCCCTCTGTTTAGCAAAAGATTTCTACTTGGTAAGCTTTATTTTTGTAGTTTTATATCAATGCACTAAGTCTGAGCACAGCTTCTTGGAAAGGAAATGGAATAACCAGATTTTTTTTTTTAACTGGACTGTGTGCCTTAATGTGAAATGCTCACTACATTGTAAACTATCAGAAAAGCAAAATAAACTGGAATAAATGTAATATTGTATCTCATAACTTATTAAAAACCATGAATGTTTGCTTCAAGAAATAAAATGTGCATGTTAAAAAGCAACTGAGATGGGTTTCTGCAATAATTAGTTTTGCCCTTTTAACGTCAAATGGATAATATGGAAATCAGTGGAAACTGAAGCCTGGAATAGCATAGGGGAGTCAGATGCTTGGCAACAGCAAATTAGTTTTAAGAACGGAGCAAAATTACCAATATATATAAAAGCAAAAACCACGATGTTGACCATGAGGGAGGAAAAGAAATGAAATCCCATGCCAAGGCAATTCCTTTCTAAACCAACTGAAAGAGCACAAAGTCAAATTTCCAAGAACTCTTCATCAGTCAATATGGTTAAAAACGGGAAGAAAAGAAGAAAGGGAAATAAAACTTGCACCGAGTTAGAATCCTGAAATAACATAGTAGATATCTTGTTCTGCTCAAAAGTCTCCAAAGTAAGGCCAGCCTGTATGAGTAATTGAAAGACTGAAGTTTATACATGGGCCACAAATAGATAAAAGACACTTAAACCATAGAAATCACGTAGCTTTTAGTGGCAGTGCTGATTTAATAAGTACTAACAGACTATGAACCTAATCCTTTAGCTGGAAGAGCAAGCCAATCTGGATGAGTGTGCTGCTACCTCTGCGCTGAATTGCTGTTTGTTTGCAGCTACAGTTCATTTATTTATTTATTAAATGTATATGGCCACCCATCTCAGGTGACTCTGGGCGGCATACAACAATCAGATAAAAAGACAAATATAAAAACAACAGAAAAAACCATTAATAAATAAAATGTTTTGCTGGCTCTTGACAAAAATGAGAGAAAATTGCATACTGGCAACAAGTCTATCCAACTCTGTAGATTGGATATTGATGTCAAACAACAGCAGAGGGAAAAAAATCATCCTGTAACATTTCAACCTCTCCACATTCAACTCGATGCGTCTGATTACCAAAATTGATTGCCTTTAAGACTTAGAGGTTCTTGCTCCCATTTCTCTCCAAAGACTATCCTGGTGGAGTGAGTAAGACAAATTTTTATTCTCAAACCAAGCCCAGTGAAAATCAGTTTCATTCAAGACAGACTAGAATTCATTTTAGATTAAACTTTGCACAAGGAAATAACTATGCAACAAGAAATTCTGAGTTTGATAGTTCTTGAATTAATGTACAAAGTCAGCTTTTCAAACTGCAAGTCCTAGCTGCACTGCATAGCCACTCTCTGTATTTGTGCAGGGTATATGTGACTGGCATAGTCCTGGTTTATCCAGCTAACCCAATTTTCTGGATTGGTATGTCACACTGATCCATAAACTAACCACATGGAGTTTGCATATGGCTAGGCTAAAATGTCAGTGGCTAGTTTGTGGTTTGGTATGTCATTCAGATCCAGAAAGTTGGGTTAGCTAGTTATACAGATTTTGAATCAGCAATTCACTACTGGGTTCACTTTATACTAATCCATGGTTTAACCATGTTTTGTATAAGCCCCTATTGGCTGAGTTCACACATTGTGCTAAGCCATAAATTATGGCATACAAATCATAGGAGTTGCTCACACAAAATAGAAAGCCAGAGTCAAAACCATCCAATTATGCATTAATGTTTTAAGTATGGCTTGTCCTATTCTGATAACTCTATGCACTTGAGTGGCTCTAGCAAATTCCATAAGACCTAAACAACAGATCTCCAGATAAAAGGGTGCCATTTTCTAGAAAAGTCTTCAAACATCAAATAATGTTTAGTTATGTAGTGGGCTTACATGCTGGTCTATTGATCCCAGGGTCTTAACATTCCCATTCCTTCCTATGCTTGCTCTTCGTCCCCAATAATGGATCACTGAAGTGGCATCTTCAGGCTAACAGATGCCCCAAACTTCAAAGCAGATAACATTAAAAAGAAGCTAAAGACAACAATCTAATTATCTTGAATATAATAGTTTGCCAGGCAGAAGATACTTATTTCCTGAATGAGCAGAAAGTTTTTTTTTTTCCTTTTGGGTTGAGTACAGGTGTGCTCCTTTTATTCTCCAATTGCTAACATTTGCTTTAATCATGAATGCACCACTCCTTCAAAAAAAAAATTTTTTTTTTGGATGACTTCAAAAAATTGGGGAGTTGCATGGAGGTAAGAGTAAATAGTATGTATATGTTCTGTAGTATCTCAAACAGGGCTTAGTGAACTAGTGGGTGCTATGTATATATGCATAAGGATGGGTGTTACAGCAATGTTTGCCTCATCTCAGAACAAATGCATTAACTGCCTGCTGTTCCTTCCTGTAATGACTTGTCCCTAAAGGCTCTTAACAATTTTCTGCACCTCTGAGGAATCTCTGTAACTTTCAAGAAGCCGTTGTGGATGGATAGGGAACTTTTGACTGAGCTGAGTTAAAAGAAATGTGAATAGGACATGGAAGATGGGTGTAATTGCTTAGGAGATATACCAGCAAGCAGCTACTATCTGCAGAGACAAGCTAGAGTACAAAAGGTACTTAAACTGGCAAAGGAGACCAAAAGCAACAAAAGGGCTCTTTTTAAAATCATTAACTCTGTCAGTATAGTAAAGAGGAAGAAAAAAGAAATTTTGAGTCCACTGTTTGGAGAAATGGTAGGATGGTAACAGTTGATAGGGCAGAGATCCTCAACTTTGCTTTGGTTTCTCCCAAAGGGGAAGGGTTTTTAAATAGATTTAAACACAACAATTGACACAAGGAAGGAGTGGCAACCCAAGAGAAGCAAAGGGATGGTAGAGAATACTTGAGTATCATGAATGAATTTAAATCACCAATTGGATCTGAAACCTTGAAGAGGCTGGCAGATATTATCTCACAGCCTCTTTCTGTGTTCCTTAAGAAATAATGGAGGATATGCATAGTACCAAAGAACTGGAAAGGATAAATGTTCCTGTCTTCAGAAAGGAGAAAAAAGGGGACTCTGGTAACTATTGACTAGTCAGCTTGATGCTGATACAGAGCAAAACTCTAGAACAGGTTATTAAGCGATTGGTTTGCGAACATTAAAAAAGGATATATTGCTCTGCAGGAATCAGCATGTGTTTATCAAGAACATGTCAAACTAAAGCAACCTGATTTCTTCTTCTGATAGTCCGATCAATTTAACTGACCACAGGAATGCAGTGGACCTATTGTTTCTTGACTTCAGCAAAGCATTTGAGAAAGCCTCCCATGAAATCCATGTAGAGAAGATGGCATCATGTGAATTGGCCTGTGCTGACATTAAATGCATATAGCACTAGTTGAACAATCATATCTAGTTGTACATCAGTGGCTCCATATCAAGAGTGAGTTTATTCTAACCCCTTACTGTTCAACACATTTATAAATGACATGGTTGAGGGAGTGAGAAAAATACATCAACTTTGTGGATGATACAAAATTGGGTGGGGTGGGGTGGGGTGGGGTGGGTGATAACAAATACCTTAGGGGAAAGTATCAAGATTCTGGAGATCCTGGTAAGCTGGAACAATGGGCAGAAATTAGCAAGATGAATTTCACAGAGACAAATGCAGAGCCCTACACCTGAGTAGTAAAAATCAAAGGTGTGAGTATAAGATGGAAGACATTGTATAAGGCATTGGTACATGCAGAAAGGTTCTGAGGGACTTGGTAGATTGCAAGCTGAACATAAACCAACAATGTGATACAGCTGCAAGTAAAAAAAGCAAATGCAATCCTAGGCTGCGTCAACCATAATGTCAAGGTGAAGGAAAGTCCTCAGTCTTTATTCTGTGTTGGTCAGATCACACCTTTAATATTGCATGCAGTTCAATATTTCTCAGCCCCGCTAGGTGGACCAGACCAAGAAATCTACTCCACAGGTAGTCTAAAACTACTTTTATTGACATTAGCTATAATAACAGAATCTTGCAAGTCTGATTGTGTGGCACTTCCTCCTCCTCCTGCTTCTTATAGTTCACTGAATTAGGGAGGCTTCTGTCTGAGCTGTTTCCAGATATTATCTAGACATTCTGGACTTAAAAAATGCTTTAGTCCCTAATGCCTAGTCAACAGAGCCTGCATATGTCTGCCACAGTAATCTTCCTTACTCTCTACAATATTGGAGCATTTATGGAGGAGAGAAATCAAGATAATAAGGGGCCTGGAACAGAAAACTCATGAAAAATTATTGGAAGCACTGGGTATGTTTAACCTGGACAACAGAAAACTCTGAGGAGATAGCTGTCAACAAGTATCTGAAGGGCTGTTATGTGGAAGATGGAGCAAAACTGTTAGATGTTGTTACAGGGGACAGGACAAGACAAGAAACTATGGGTTTGAATTACAGGGAAGTAGACTTTGGACATCAGGAAAAAATCCTTAATAGTAAGAGCTGTCCAACAAGAAAACAGACTATCTTAACCGTGGTGGACTCTTCTTCATGGGAAGTGTCTGATGCTGGATGACCATTTGTCAGGGATACTGCAGTAGTGGATCCTGACACTGAGCAGAGGGTTGAATTAGTTTATCTCCAATGTCCCTTCCAATTCTTACATTCTGTGATTCTATTAATCTTTTTACATTTGATCCCCAGAGGCAACATGGAGGAGGAAAGAGAAAGAAAATGCGGGGTTAGGTAAGCCTCCCTGACTGTCTGCAATGGCACTGACTTTAATCATACCATGGTGGATTTTTCCGTTCTTCATTCTTTATTCCAGGAGAAGGAGAATGTAGAGAGTAAGGAAGATGGAAATATGCAAGGACATATTATCCAAGGTAAATGGGGCTGAAATGTTTTTTAAGTCCAGAGAAATGAGATAACATTTGGAAATGGCTCAGGCAGATGCCTTCCTAATTTACTAGAATATAAGAAGGAGGAGGAGGTACAGCCCAAATCAGACTTGCAAGATTCTGTTATTATAGCCTATATCAATAAAAATAGTTTTAGCCTTTTTGTAGAGTTGATTTTCTGGTCTGGTCTATTTCATGGGGCTGGCAGAGAAGGAAAAGTAGTGACAATCTCTCAGCTATCTTTGCAGAAGCTGGAAAGATATAGAAAACCAACTTGTCCCCTATGATTAGGACATTGATATAAGTGCACTGCT